CCCTCCCGCCTGCCCAGGGGCACCGGTGGGAGCTGCGGGGCCTGGGGGTGTGGGGGAGGAGAGGTGCCTCCCTCCTCTCCGTCTGCCCCTGGGGGAGGCTGTGGGCTCTGGGGCCTCGCTTTTTGCTGGGGCTGGGAGCCCGGCTCAGGCTTCCCCGGGGGCAGGCACCGCCGGGCCTGTCTGTGCCTGGGGGCCCCGGGAGCCCTGGTGCCTTTCGGTGGATTGGGGCCAGCTCAGCTCTGCAGGACGCTCTTACAGGGGTTGTGTTTAAGCAATTTAGTTTCTCTGTTAAATGACCCTAAATGGTTCTCTGTGCTACAAACCCAGTTAAGCGCTGTGGAGAGGCAGAGCGCGTCAGCTTGGCAGCAGTGCTGTGCAAGGAGCTGCGTCTGCCCTGCTTACAGGACCTGCATCAGGATGGCTGGGAAGGCCCAGCCTTGGGGTGTGCTTATGGGGGTCGCTTTGCTTTGTGTCCTTGCCCTCCTTTACCCTTGGCATCCTGGCGAGGTAGGTGACACAGACAGGCAAGCAGAGCAGAGGATTGGCAGCCCTGACCCCCAGCTCTGCTAACAGTGGCAAATTGCTTCAGCCCTTGGTTTTGTTTCAGAATCAAATTGCGCTCTGGGAGCAGAAGGCTGTGGTTTTTTAGTGGTGGTCTCCTCAGCGCTCAGTTTGTCTAGTCCTGTCGGTCAGCAATGCTTTGGTAGCCCAAGTGCCTGCAACACCCTCAGTGTGTTTCCCTTGGCAGGAGCCTCGTGGGGCAAGACTGTGCTACACAGTTCACGCTGGGGAGGGTGAATTGAGGCCAGGAGGGTTCATGTAAAAGGGCTGTGGTTAGAGCAGAGAGTTTAATGAAGGCTCCTGAGGCCCTGGCCAGTCCTGAACAACTCCCTCATCCTCTCCTTTTGCACCAGCACAGAGCAGTAGAAAAGCTCTTGGATTTCTTGTTCATCAAGTCATAACTTTTCTCTCTACAGATTTTTTTAAAGTTACGAGGAGCCGAAACAAACTGTTCACGGCCTCCCAGAATGGCAGACCAGAAGCGCCTTGCCTATTCCATCATCCAGTTTCTACATGACCAGCTACAGAACGGGGGTCTGTCTCCAGACGCTCAGGAGAGTTTGGAAGGTAGGTGGTTGTATGCGCTCCCCTGCTCATGTGTCTCGGCCTGTCAGCCCAACACCTGGGGAAAACTTGGACGCTGTTACTCTCCTCTGCCTCTCACTTGGCTGGGCTGTTCCTAACATCAAACCTTGCTCAAGATTCAAAATGAATTTGTCTTCTTGGGGAGGTATCCAGGGCATTAGGGATGCTGATTGCTTATCTGATTTCTCCGTATCTCTTTTAAAAGCAGATTAGCTTGAGGAAGGGATATACCTGGGATCAAAAGCCTCCCTGACCCTGGGTTTGTGACTTAAAAGTTTTATCTTAAATGAGATGGGGTCAGGAGGCTCGTGGTGTACAATGAGAACTTCGTGACTGCATGGAAGTGTTTTACACTTGCAGAGTGCTTTTCCCGTTCTACTATCAAAATGCTTTTCTGCAGCACGCCCTGGAGTATTTACACAGGCTTTTTCAGAGGGCTTCACTGTTAACGAGAGCACACTGATGTTAAAAGGTCCACTTAAGGAGCTTATGCTTTAGTCTTTGGCGTGTACGTTTGTCCCACTGAGCGAGCGCGCAGGCACATTTGCAGAGCAGTGGGTACATTCCTGGGTGAGGCAGGAGAAGAGGGCGAGAGGAGGGTGTTGAGTGGAAGGAGAGGGGGTTTATTCCTGGTGCTTTTGGACTGTGAAATATGGCACGAGAGTTTCGTAAAGCTGAGCTCTGTTGTGTTGCTGGGGTTCCCCTCTGTGCTGGGAACAGCTTCCTGACCAGCTGCTTGATGAGGGGGGCAGTGGAGGAAGCTGCAGCTCCTGCAGGACCTGCTGTTTGGTGTCTGTGCACCTCTGCATGGCCACAGTGCTTCACAGAGCAGCCACCCTCTGGCAAGAGACCACTTTCTGAACCCTTGCTCTTTGCTGTGGGAAGGCTAGTAAAGCCCCTGCTTGATTAACTTCGGCCCCCAGCACCTGCTCTGGTGTCAGCTGAGGGGATGGGAGTTGTGACTGACTTGATCTCCAGAGCTAAGGTTTGCCCAGCTTGGAGGCTTTGGCCAAATTTGAGGATATGGCCCAAATATCAAGTCTGGTGTGTGGAATTGTGTGGTTTAGAGTGTTTGGTTTTTTCCTGGTAAGTTCAACAGTAAGAAATTCAGATGCAATGGGAGGAGGCTTAAGTGTTTAGATGGGATGGGGAAAGCTAATGACCTGACTCTTCTTCTCCAGTGGCCATCCAGTGCCTGGAGACAGCATTTGGGGTCTCGATGGAAGACCAAGGCCTAGCTGTGTCCCAGACTCTTCCGGAAATATTTGAAGCTGCTGCAGGAAAGGTGAGTGAGTGCCCTAAAATATGCGCCGAGTTTCCATTTAAGCAGCCAAAGCACTGAGCTCTGCTTGATTTCTGTGGTGGTGCTGCCCCCTTGGAGGTGTGTGGGAGTGAAATGTTTTGGGCTTGACAAGCCAGCGCTCGGGAAGGGGGAGGTGTAGCGCATCTCAGTGGGAGTCCTTATCGCAGCACAGCGTTCTCCCTTTCCTTGTAAGGAGCCTGAACACATCAGAACAAATTCAGAGCCTATCACCCCCTCTGAAGATGACATCGCTGAAGCTGAGAGACTCAAGACTGAAGGTAACCACCTCTGGAGCTGGTGTATAATGAGGTTTGGATGGTAATGGGGAGGGAGGCTTAATTCACTCAGCACCTGGGGAGTGCTTGGAATGGGAGGGGGGAAAAAAGCAGATGGGATCAGCCCTTCCATTTCTACTTGTTTCTCTGCTTGTGCTGCAGGAGCATGTGTAGGTTGGCATAATTTAGCTGCTACAGAGCCTAAATAGATGGCTGGGTCAGCATTTTCTTTTGCATCCTAAGAAGCCCGTGCTGTGTAGAATGGGGTGTCTTTCCTGTTGAGCTCTCCTCTGCATGTTGCCTTTTCTCTGCCATGCAGGAGAGTGTGATTAGTGCTGAAGCCCAACGGAGAGCATTCTCTGAGCCCACACACTGCAGTGCTTTTCAGGACACAGCGCTGCTCTGGGGAGGCCTTGGGTGTGCCCGGGGGGGAGGAAGAGGAGGATGGCTGAGGGTGCTAAGGGGGCTTGCAGGATCAGGTAGCCTGGAACTGCCAAGACACCGGTCCCCTGCCTTGCTGAACGTGTCCTGCGCTTGCAAGCAGCTTGACCAGCAAAAGTTGCAAGCAATTGGTTTCTCTCTTGTTCTATTTTCTTAAGTAGAACATAGATCCAGGCCTGTTGCTTTTGTTCGTCCCCATTTTTCACTTGTTAATGAGCTGTTCTGCCATCTCTTTAGGAAATGAACAAATGAAGGCAGAAAACTTTGAAGCTGCTGTGTCTTTCTATGGAAAAGCAATTGAATTAAATCCATCCAATGCTGTGTATTTTTGCAACAGGTACTGATTATCTTTCCTCACCCTTGTACACCTGTGGTTTTGTGCTTACTGTGTGTATCTAAGGCTCTTGAATGGTCAAAATCCCTTTGTTATGATTCTGTAGACTGCTTGTTCTGTTGCTTGCTCTTTGTGTGTGGTTTTTTTTTTAAGCTGATAGTGACACATTCCTGTGCCTCCTGCCAGCTCTGTGCCCTGGCATCTCTAGATAGGATGTGGGTGCGGAAACAAAGTCTATTAGGCATTTGGGGAGACATAAGGATGCCAAGAAATGCTGCTTTTGTGCAATTAACTCTTAAGTGGGATAGAGAGCCCAGGTTTGAGAGGCTGTGTTGATGATAAAAACAAAGGAGTGAAATGAGATGAGTTGAAGACTCGTTATTGAGAATTACGCAAGTTGGTGTGTGCTTAAAATTGGGTGTGCAAGTGAATTTCCTATTTTTCAGTTCGAAGCAGAAGTGTTTGAAAGTTGGTGGGAAGACAATTGATGAATAAAACAGACTTTGGATCAGGTTTCAGTTTAGTTATCTGCTTATAATGAGTATGTATGTACAGCTGGCTGCATGAATAATGTGTCTGTGCGCATGCTGACGATGTGGTGAGGTATTTCCTGGGGCAAGGCACTGCAGCCGGTGCCTTTAGTGGAGCTTTGCCCTGGCTGGTCCCACGAGGTTCTGGGCAGGTGCCCTGCTGCCCATAAGAGCCGTGAGATTGAGGCTTGAAAAGAGCACGTTGTGGCTTCAAAACCAATTTTCCCTCTTGTGTGGGGAAAGGGATGAAACGGTTGTTATGAGTAAGAAACCAAGGAATAAGGGAAGCTGAGTGAGATTGTCTGAGGTGGGATACTGGTGTGTCTCGCCGGAGCCCAGGCTCCTCTTGGAAAAGTCCATAAGGAGGAGTAAGAGCCTTGATTTATTTGCAGTAGGAGCAGAATGTGGATCTGGGTGTTTGGTGAGCAGCCTGCTCACCTGGATACGGCCTGGATTTACGTCAAGTTCACACTTGACTTTGCCTTCTACAACAGGAGACTACAGAGAGGGAGCAGGGGTGACCTTGATCAGCATATTCAAGCTGATAAATCTTTTTCTGCACATCTCTCTCCATTCCCTCCAGAGCTGCTGCATACAGTAAACTAGGAAATTATGCTGGAGCAGTGAGAGACTGTGAAAGAGCTATAGGCATTGATCCAAACTACAGCAAAGCGTATGGCAGAATGGGGTAAGTTAAGAGCAGGTTTTTTGTGCCAGAATTTTAATCTCAAAACGCCTTGTGGCGGTGATACTATTGGTGGTGTTCTGCCCTGGAATGCCTGCAAAAATACTTCGTGTTTCACCGCTGCTGGGGGTGGAGGAAGACTGCGAGTGCTTATCTAACTCTGTGACTCTTTATTCCATTTCAACTTTAATAGCTTGGCCCTCTCCAGTTTAAATAAACACACAGAAGCTGTTGTTTACTACAAAAAAGCCCTGGAGCTGGATCCAGACAACGACACTTACAAATCAAACCTTAAAATAGCTGAACAGAAAATGAAGGAGACTCCTAGTCCAGTAAGTTCTGAAACTAATGCTTGTTATGTGTGGGTAAGATTAGAAGGAGGCTTCCTTGCTGTAAGTGCCAACAGGTGCTGTCTGGCAGAGCCTTGATGACCGGGGCTGTGTTGAGGGTACAAATCTTGTATGCAGACAGAGGGGAGATGGTTAATGAGTTGTGCTGTGAACATTTCCACTAAACTCCAGAGAGGGTAACTTCTCTGCTTGAGCACAGTCACCTTGGGCTTATTTGAAAGAGCTGGAAAATGAGACTGATGAGAAAGGAGTGTTTTGAAACTGCAATTTTGCCTTAAGCACCTTTCTTAATTAAAGTCACTACTTGTAAAATCCAGCTTTTTTTTTTTCTAGTGACCTGTTAGGCATACCAAAAGGGCATTTTAGGTGGCTTTCTTTTCTTACAAAGATTGTTTTCTTGAAGAAAAGAAAACCTGGAGGCTTTCTAGCCAGAAAGCTGGTGACTACGCTACTGATGTGCTCCATGCAGGAATGTGTTAGTTTATCATTTGGAAGGAGACTTTAATTTTCTAAAGACTTCTCTGGGGTGAAGGTGACCAAGTGGATGTGTTGAACTTGGCAGTTGTAATGGTTTACAGCTGTACATCACTAATGAGGCTCAGCTGGTGAGAGGTGATCAGTAAGTCATGCAGACCTCTGCCCTTCCACTCCCTCAGTGAGCCTCATCCCCCCAGGCTGGCTCTGACTCGGAGCTTTACAGAAAGGGCATGGACAGAGCCTCTTCCCTTTGTTGTGGCTTAAGGGGCAGATTCTGATAATTAAAGTATTAATGCTCATTGTGAGGTGCATCAGGAAGTGAAAGGATGTCATCATCTGCGTGTGGTTTCTTTGTTCTCACAGACTGGAGGTCCAGGAGGATTCGATTTAGCTGGCTTGCTGAACAACCCCGGCTTCATGAGCATGGTAAATTCAGCCGCGGATCAGAGCCAGGCCATATCTGCTCTGTGTTGGCCTCTGTGTTCAGGATGAAATCTGTCAGTACGGGGTGTGGGGAGCTGCTGGGTTACTTCAGCAGATTTGTTTTCATTTCATTCCTCGGCTTCAGTGTTGCTGTGAGGAAACCGTGCTCGTATTTCACTAAGGTCACATGAAGAGCCAGTGACTTATTCACAGGCTTCTCCTTGTCATATGCTGGCTGTGGAAAGGCTGCCTGTTCTGCATTTCCAGCCTTGTGTGTTGCACTGTGCTTCTCTTCACTATTTTTGTCCCGTTGATCTGTTTCCAAGTATTTCTGCCTTTGCTTTGTTTGTAGTTGAATGGCGCAACATCTGCATATCTTACCCAGTAATTTCTGACTAAATAGGGTGTTATTTTTTTCTCCCCTCTTTAAATAGGCGTCTAACCTCATGAACAATCCACAAGTACAGCAGCTGTAAGTTTGATCCTGTCTTGTGTTTCCTCTCTGAACTGCTCATTTGAGGCTCTGTGTATGTTTGGCATGTGGAGTAGGTCTGAACTGGTGGGAGTGGGGGAGTGCTTGGGCCAGAAGCATGGAGGGCAGCCTTTAAACCAGTCCAGCTGCCTGAGTGGGTGTGGATTCTGAGTACTCTGGACTGTGCTGAAGAGGGATACTGGTATAAACGTTTGCAGAAGGAAGGCAGGATGGATTATGGTGCTGGAGAAGGGTTTGGGAAGCTTGGGGTCAGTTCTGCTGTGCAGTGACCTAGAGACAGGATTTCACAGTCACATCTCAGTTAGAATGAGAATATTTCCATTCTTTGTGCTCCAGGGTTACAAGGATCAATTTACAATGTCTGAGAGGTGCTTAGATAATAAAAAGTCGTAAGATTAATAAGGCACGTACCTCTCCTGGCCATCCTTTCAGAGCAGAGGTAGGCAGCAAGTTGGAGACCTTCTGGAGCTCATCCTTTGATTACCATATGAGATGATTTGGCTAAAGGGCTGAACATCAGCCACCATTTCCATTTGCTTCTGCCTGCTCCTGCTGCTGCTGTTGCCAGCCAAGGTTCTGTGCCAGATGCAGCCTGAGGCCCTCCAGAGGAAGGGGCTGTGTAGACCCAGTGTGTTCCGGAGTGCATCAGTGTTTAGGCTGTCCTGTCAGATTTTTTGTTGATGCAGAGCAAGCAAACAGCAGGCAGTGTTTTAATTAAATAAACCTGACACTGGGCTTGCATGCAAAAGGGGGGATCTCTGGGAATATGGAACTGACACTATTGTAAATATTTCTACATATTGTGCTGTTTAAAGCTACACTTACTCTTCTGCAGTTAATGTGCAAAAAGTTGTTGCAGAAGATTTGCTTGCAGGTAACTTCATAACCTGTGTGGGAAGGTGCTCCCATTATGCTGACATTCCCCTCCCAGCATAAATCAAACAATTTCTGTGGGGTTTTCCCCCCACCCCGCTCTGAGCAATGCCTGTTACTTCCACAGCATGTCTGGGATGATTTCTGGTGGCCACAACACCATGGGAGCAGCAGGCACCAGCCCCTCCACGAATGACCTCGCCAGCCTCATACAAGCGTGAGTAGGGAGCTGGGTGTTTCCCATTACCTTGCTCAGTAAAGGAAATTTGGGGGTGTTCTGACTGGAAGTGGAACCTTAATTTAACACTTGAGGAAGGCTTAAATGTTGGGTGAAGTACTGCCTCTCTTGGTGCTGTGAACTACTGGTTAGAGTAGAGTTTTGGCAATCACTGTGAAGAATTTCCTCGCACCAGACAGTGTTTGTGTGTGTGGGAGCACTGATAGGACTGTTGCTTGTTCCCCTTCAGGGGCCAGCAGTTTGCTCAGCAGATGCAGCAGCAGAATCCTGAACTAATAGAGCAGCTACGGAGCCAGATTAGGAGTCGAACTCCAAGTGCCAGTAATGAAGATCAGCAACTCCAGGTGAGGCTGGAGCTGGGAGTGCTGCTGCACTGTGGCCAGCTGAGTGGGAATTGGTGCATTTGGCTGCAATATCTGTCTTGTGCCTTCATTTAGTGATTTGGTGTCTCCCCACTGTGCAGACTGGGTTCTCTGCATCAGTGCTGCTAGTACTGTGCCTCAGGTGCAAGGCTGAGCTCTGGGGAGCGGTGAATAAGCACACATCGTGTGACTGACAAGCGGGTTTCCTTATCTGGTGTTCACAGTGGTTAAAGGGACGCTTTATTTTCTTAAAGATTGAATTTGCAAATGTCTTGTCTTCCTGTCTCTGCAGCGCAGTCCCTGGGAACTGTGTTCTTTGCTTTAAAAACTGGAAGCCATGTGCGTGTTGCCATTTCTTGAGTTGGAAGTGTCCAAGAGGGGGAAAAAAATGGAAAAACAAAATACTTTATATGACCTGCATG